TACTAAAATAATGTCCCTCAAGGGACTAAACCCTCAGATGGAGGATGCACCTGTGAGGGATTTTTTGCTTAATTTGAAGTAGAAAAAATCTACTTTTTTTTGAGACAAGGTTTCTTTGTACACAAGGCCACAGCCCTGGCTGTCATAGAACTAGCTCTGTAGACCAGCGTGGACTAGAACTGAGACATCCGCCTGCCTCTGCCTCCTGGTGCTGGGATTAAAGGCATGCACTGCCTGGCTGGAAAAATCCATTCTAATCTAGATTTTAGGAAGATACACACACACACACACACACACACACACACACACACACCACCCATCCACCCTTTAATCCAGATCTTTCAAACTTGGAAAGGACATACCTTTAATCCAGTTCTTGAGGAGGGAGGACATACCTTCAATCAGGGTCACTCCTTCTGCTGAATACCTACAAAGGACATGGCAGGAGGAAGCTTTTGTGCTTTCCTGCTTGCCCTTACCTTACTCTGCGTTTATTCCTTCATCGGCATTAGAGCCTACTTCTTCTGGATTCCAGCATCTGCTGGAGACCAGTTGTGACATCCAGTCTTGTGGACTGAGCAATTACTGGATTCTTAGACTTCCCGTCCAAAGCAATCCATTGTTGGATTAGCTGGACCACAGCCTGTAAGCTGTAAGTCATTATAATAAATTCCCTATCTATCTATCTATCTATCTATCTATCTATCTATCTATCGTCAGTGTATAAATTCTGTTACGCTAGAGAACCCTGACCAATACCATGTGTTTGGTTTATTAGAAGCTGAGTAAAAGTCCAGGGTCAGTGGTTCTCAACTGGATATTTTGCCTACTTGGCAAAATCTAGTAATATCTGGGCCCACTAATTGTTTTCATTGCTGGAATTCAAATTCAGGGCCTCTTACTCTAGTCAGTACCCTACCTTTGGATAGTATCTTCCCTCATGGGGGGAGAGAGGATGTGCTACTGGCACTTAGTGGGTAGAGCACAAGGATGATGTTAAAGGAACAGAACACTCCATTGTGACAGAAATTTGTCCAGTCCCAAATGTCATTTGAGAAATTTGGCTCCAGTTTTCTCTACAAGGGGAATTTAGGTGGAGGTGGGGAATTTAGAGAAGGGGATTACTCTGGCGGTGACAAAAATCAAATGCTTTTTAGACACAACTCTGTCCTCTGTAAGGAGAATGGATGCGGGGTTTTAGCAGCAGGAGAGGCCCTGGGCTCATTCTTGTACACTCTCTTGGGGAAGCAAAAGTCTCACAACTCATTTTACCAAGAAACGTGAGACTGAAGTGAGTCTCTCTCGGTGGACTAACTATATTTTATTAATTTTCCCGAGGTAGAACTATAAACACATACTTGTAATCCTAGCAATTGAAAGGCTGAATTAGGGGACTGGGAGTTGAAAACTGACATGGGGTGCACAGAAAGACTTTTTCTTTAAAGTAGAAGAACCATACATTTTAGGGGGTCTATGAGCACCCAGTGTCTTCCCAGCCAACATGTGTACCCTGTAATCACCACACACAGGATGTATGACTCCAAAAGAAGCCAAGGACTCCACCCAGGCCGCCGAGCCTTAGCCTCTTAAAACCGAGAATGGGTCTGTTCCTCCTGACTTCTTCAGAATTCAGATGTGCTCGGTCAAAAGAAAACAGTGTTGGAAGAGCAAGATGGGGGAATTCTGTCTCTGTAGTCTCTGCTTTAATGCTGTCAGCCTGAGGGAAAGGTGAGCTTGACTCACTCGGGGCCGTTCGGGGAAGACTGAAGCACACAAGTACAGTACTGGAAAAGGCTCTTTTCTTTCTACCCTGCAAACCAGGCGTGGGAGAAGGGGGGGAAATGGCCAAGCACTGTTGGATGGGTAGTCAGAAAGGTTGCCTCTAAGACATAACCCCATCCTCAGTGAGGTCTGGAATCTACAGATTCAAGAAAGTTTGGGAATAGACTCTCCTTCGTTTCTGCATCTCCATCAGGTAAAACTCAAGCATAGGAAAAACCCAAGTGTTATAAACTGATTTTCTGGAGCTGTCTGGATTGCAGTAAATAAACGAGAGCTTGTAACTCTAGGCTTTATATATCCCCATTCTAAGTAGCTCTATGGTTTTCAGAATCGACAGGTAGTCTTTCAGACATGATATGGTTGATGTACACATTGACTCACAAGCAGCTGTGGTTGTCTGTATAAGAAGTGCAGAAGGTCAAACCAGTCAAAATTCCATCACAGAGAGAGGGATCTCCCAAAGTTTCATGAGTTACTGAGAGTTGATGGCTCCTGAGGGAGGAATTACTTTTCTTTAGAGTGTGTGGGCCCAATGGATGATTCTCATATGGTAAGCATTAACTGGATTCAGTAAGAAAAAAGAGGGAATTGAGTCAGAAAGAAAATGGATTGGTGGGTTCCTAGGGGAATTGTCGGAAGGTAGTTTGGATGAATACAATCAAAATATGTTGCACATATATGATATTTTCAAAGAATTAATGAAATTCTTTGGTCTAAGCTTCTACAAGGGCATGTAGTGAATATTTTTTGGTCTGTCTGGCATCTAAGCCTTGCTTCTGTCTTGGTAACTTTCTAATTCATGAAAAGGTAGAGTTTGCCAGCCACTACAAAAGTAGAAGCTTCCAGATAGCAAATTCATAACCTCCTTTGGAGGTGTAAGATGAGGACATGTGAGCTAGGGTTGCCCATTCTGAAGCATCAAATTTTGAATTCTAAGCTAGCAATGAAAAGATGAAGGAGGGAGCAGTCATTTTGGTGGTGGACAATGCAGGAATAACAACTACTATGATCATGTTACTAGTGCAACAGAAGTAAAAGGCAGCGATCTGAGTCCAGTGTTGTAGACAAAGATTACGATACAGCGGTGCCCAGTATAGCCTTGCAATCCCTAGAGTAGCTTTGCAATTTTAGTTATGACCCTAACCACAGTCTAGTCTTCTTTTATCCTTTTTACTTTCAAAGGAGGCGTGATGGCTCTTCTTGGGTGTCAACTTGACCACAGCTGGATTGAATTACAATCCAGACATGGAGGGCACACCTGTGAGAGATTATTTTTGCTTGGGCGAATCCACTTTCGGTCCGAACCTTTGAGGCAGGAAGACACATACCTCTGAGGCAGATCTGAAGTGGGAAGACGCCTTTGAACCAGATCTTGAGGTGGGAAGGCACAGCCAGCTCTTGCTGGATTAGCTGGATCACAGCCTGTAAGTCATTCTAATAAAACTCCCTTCTATGGAAATGGATTCCTTCTGTAAGTTCTGTTACTCTAGAGAACCCTAACTCATAAAGGTTTTTTTCAGAATTTCCTAGTAGTTATTTAAACCAACTGGAATATTTTCAACAGGTTTCCTTTTTGCAAAAAAAATCTAAAGTTAGCTTTTGTTGATGAGCAATCTCTCTATAGAAATTAGTACCACAAAGGAGGATACCTGAAACAACAAGATTTACACTGTAAATTGTCTAAATGCAGGGCAATGGAACATCAGAGTTTCGAGCTGGGCAGTTGGTGTTCATTGTTACACAATGATATAATTGGCTTTTTTATGCATGAGTAGGTGTGTGTATTGTGTTTTGTGTGTGTATGTGTGTGTGTGTGTGTGTGTGTGTATGCATGCAAGTATGTAAGTGGTTATGCTTGAAAACATCACAGGAGGATGCCAGTGTCTTCCTCTGTCACTCTCAGGGGACTTGATAGGCTGGGCCAGCTAACCAGAAAGGTCTTAGGACCTGTCTTTCTCTGAAACATGCACACCCAGCCACGCCTATCTTCTTACACAGGAGCTAGGAGTTTGAACCCAGATCCTATACCAGAATCCACTGATCCCTCCCCACCTCCACAACAGTTATTTCTTAAAGTATTTGCCAAAGTTGTGTAAGGACAATAGGTTGCAAATGGCCTCTCTGAGGGCAGACAACATGGAGATGGGACTTTACATAGAGAGACTCTTTCTGCACACAACTTTTATCTAAGTCATTGAACATCCAATCAATTGAAACTGTTTAATCAAAATAATTTAATTTTCTATCCGAAGATAAATTCAGTACAAAGAGGTATGCAGTAAATAGGAAGTGCCTGGTAGACCCGCAGTTCCTCAGTAGGCCTGGGTGGTAAAATGGGTTCAGAACCAACTGAGGGGGAATCTTGAGGATCCAGGGTTTTTTCCCTCAAGGAAGTAAACAGAGAGCTTCGATTCAAAAGTCCTTTAAAGAAGTGAAAAACCTCCCTGGGGCAAGTTCCTCTAAGTATCCCAGGTTACTTTATAACAGTGTTCCCAAACACTTGCTGCTTCGATTTAAACAGAATGCTGCTCGCTGAGGACGACACTTTATAGAACCTTGGATGGTTTCCATTCTATCACTCAAAACTTAAGACTCTGCAGTCATCTTCAGCCTATTGACTTACAGCTAGCTTCAGTTTTGCAAATAAAATACTGGTTCTTTTATAGAATGACCTCCAGTCACAAAGAATTCATCCTTCACACGTCACTTCATTCCCTCCTCATCCGGAGAGTGAGAGGGAAACTGAGGCACAGAGCCTTGATCAGGTCTTGAGGTGAACAGGATCTGCTTGCAGAATAAAACACAGACAACCAAAACAAAAACATCTCCAGACTTTGGGCCTTGTGTTCAGCCATCTGAGGCAGGTGTTCCACATCTTGGCTTTTTGTCTCAGGGTTTTGTTTACCAGCGCAGCATAGCGTGAGATTCTGAACTCATACCGTCTATTTGATCCACTACAGCGAAGGTGGAACGCTATTCCAAGGGGTCTCTGCTCCGTGCCTGTGTCAGCAGCACAGCAGGCTGCCTGCTTGGGAAACCTCACTTCCTTGCTTACTTCACAGGTGTGCCTGTGCAAATCGATCACCGGGGAATTGATTGAAGAAGGGGACAGATGTGCAGTGTCTGTCACAGAGAACTCGGGACCGAGGGCCAAGTTCAGCGTGGATTTTGACTTTTCTATGTTCCTTCAAAAAGTCCTTTCCCTGGGTATCTGGGGGTCAGCTCTCTGGTAACGTCACACTGGCATAAACTGTGGTGGGGTTTGATTCCTGTGAGCAAAGAAGACATTCATGAGAGAAGGAATGGAGGGACGAAGTTCACATGCAGCAGAACAGCCTTCCCTGGAAAAGAAGAGGCTTAGAGTTCCTGTAGTACATATAGCATGATGCTTCGAGTCTGTCACAGTCTGGACATGGCTAGGCCAGCACTCAGGTCTCCCAGTGCCTGCCTGCAAATGGGGCTCCATCTCCCTTCCAAGCATAAATGTGCCATCGGGGAGATGAGAGATTTGAAGACTGGCCTTGCCTTTCGATCCCTCCTCTTTCCTCTTCTCTATCCCCTCTCCTCCTTAGGAAGAAACTCCCTTAGATCAGGACATTTGCCAGGCCATGCTATGTCTTCCCCACGTGACAGGCTGAATCTTCCAAAATTGTAAGATCAAATATATCTCCCTTCAAGTTGTTCTCTTAGGTATTTTGGTCACAGCAATGTAAAAATAGGTAACAGACCTCCCATAGGGTAAAGAGAGTCAGAGGAAGAAAAAGACAAGCGAACTCACACCATGGTGGTTAGGAAACAGTAAAGAGGGATACCAAAGGAGATCAGAGTAACACATATCCTCTTTCAAGTACACAGTGGGTGGGCTTCCTCCAGCTGGGCCTCACTGCTTCCTGACAGTATGATTGTGTTATGAGCACATCATGGATCAGGAGCTTGTCAATCAGGTAAGAACCCTCACCTTTTGTGACCCTGGGACTACCCTCACGGACACACCCACAGGTGTGCTTTATCAGTTTCTTAGGCCCCTCTTACTCCCATCAAGCTGACAACCAAAATAACCATCCCTGAATTCTTCAAGAATTCTTTTCTCCCTCTCCATCTTACTTTTCTCCCACTTACTGTCAGTCCTGGAATACAGTTTGGGGAAGCCAAAAGAGGTTTTAGAGGGGCTAGTGAGATCCAAATGGGGATGAGAGAAGTGGTACCTGTTTGCTGATTTCAAAACAAGTATGTCAGGTATTTGTTGTCCTTTGACAACTCTCAGAGAAACACTAATCAGTACACAGTGGCTCACAGCCTATGAGCCCAGATGAAGGATTTTGTATGAGTCCTACCAAACCAAGACTACAGCTATTTCTTTCTGCATGTGGCATCTGGACCACTCTCACCAATATGATTCACTTCATCTCGCCCCTAAAATAAATACACAACAACAAAAACCTTCTTCCCCTTCTTCTCAGCCTCTTACCAGACATTCAGTGGGGGTGGGGGGAGCAGAGATGCCTCACCTGAACAGGCTCTGGGACAGGCTCTGTGGCAGCCACATAAATGGTGGTGCAGGGACTCTGACCCATCAGAGAATCATCGAATTTCTTTTCTGGAGTCTACAAGAGAAGCAAAGGAGACAGATTAGTTGAGCAGAAAGCTGGGCCCCATCCAATGGCTCAAATTAAAAAAAACTCCTTCTTTGCTCGTTCTAACTTCCTCCCTGGTGAGAATTCTCCCAAACTTCCCTGGAGTTCACTTTGCTTGTCATTCCCAGAGTGACATCTTGGGGCTTCCAACCTCTCAAGGCAACTTCATCCCTTGTTAGTGCTTTAGAAAATATATCTTCATCTCAATTGCTGTTCATTTCTTAGATGCCATAGTATGTAGAGAGATTTAAATTTAATGACAAATGTTTGATTAGGGATGAGGGGGTGAGGGGCAGATGGAAGAAGGTTTTTAATCAGCTTTTGTTCACGGATACACTCTTTGCTTCTCTTCCTGGTTGGGAGAATTTTAGTGTGACCAGACCTAAATGTAGGGATGAGGGATGGTGTCAATAACTTATATGTTCTGCATTCAATTAGGGAATTTCACAAAGAAGTCTGTACTCAAAATAACCCCGAGATGTCTTGGGACAATGGTATTGAATTTCCCTTTAAGATTTTTATCTAAGTAGAAAGAATTATTTTAAACACAATTTTAACAACATAGCATGTTTTTGTTTCTCATGTCTTCTGTTAGGGGCCCTGATTTTCACATCTCCAGGGATGTAGTAATATGAGCGGCGGGGCTGCATCCCCAGCACCCCGGCAGCCTGGCTAGCTTATGCTCCGAAATAACAACACACAAACTGTATTCATTTAAACACTGCTTGGCCCTTTAGCTCTAGCCCTTACAGGCTAATTCTCACATCCCGATCAACCCATCCCTAATAATCTGTGAGCACCGGTCTTACCGGGAAAGGTTCAGCATGTCTAACCTGGCGGCTTGCTTCATCGCGTGCGTCTGCCCGGGAGAGCGGAGCATGGCATCTCTCTGAGGTGTCTGCTCCCGAGAGGGGAGCTGTGGAGTCTGAGCTCACTTCCTCTTCCTCCCAGCGTTCTGTTCTGTTTACTCCTCCCACCTATCTTCTAACCAATGAGGGCCAAGCAGTTTCTTTTTATTTAACCAATGACCTTCCTCCATCACAGGGATACCACATTGGAGCAGAATCAGATGTATAACTTAATTTTGCTATTTTTTTGAGAATGGGAGCCCTCAAAATGACAGTGTAAGGCAGAAACCACATAATAAGCCCTGGAGAGGTTCCTATCAGTTAACCAACAATTGTTTAATTTCCTGTTATTATGTTCTGTTGTTAATTTTTTGAGACAGGGTCTCACTGTGTAGCCTTGGCTGTACTGGAACTCCCTATGTAGACCAAGATTTTGCCTCAAACTCAGAGATCCACCTGCCTCTGCCTTCTAAGTGCTGGGATTAAAGGTGTGTGCTATGACATCTGGATGCTATTATGCTTTATTTAAAGATATTTTATAGCTATTATGATGAAAACAAAAGAAATGCTGATTTTTGGATAATATCTGTTATTATCTTTGTAATGATATAATAGTATGATAAATAAAAATGAAGGAAATTGTAAGGATGTAGGTAAGTCTGTACATATTGATATATAAACAAAAACGTCTTACGTATTTAAGATACATATAAATTAAAAACCAATAAAAATAGAATATAAATCAAGAGGCAAAATTATAGTGTAGTTAAAATATTCTACTGGAGTACAAAGAATAAAAGGAACACATGTATGTTAGTAAGTCAGGGATGTGCTGGGTGGTAGCGGGCATGCTTTTAATCCCAGCTTTTGGGAGACAGAGGCAGATGAAATCTCTGTGAGTTCGAAGCCAGCCTGGTCTACACAACTAGTTTTAGGACAGTCAAGGCTAGAAACCCCATTTCAAAAAACAAAACGAAACAAAACTATAGCCCCCCCCCCAAAAAAACCCAAAACAGATAAAGAAGTCAGGGTGTAGTTTATAATTTCTAGGATGGCCACTAAAAATAGAGGAAATAGTCGTTTAAATATTAATGCAATGTAGAATAAAGTTTAATGATAAAAACATAATTGAAAATTCCTCCATCAAAGAAACTCCAATCTCAGAGACTCTCACCAATAAGTTCTCTAAATATATAAGGGGAGAAATATGATCAATCCCACCCAAACATTTCCAGAGAGTCACAGGAAGAAAATGCATCTGTTGGTGAACTGAATTGTGGCCACCAAAAGATACGTGCCACCAGTGTCAGGATGTCATTGTGTGGTGTACAGCCTCGGCAGAGATGTGGATAAGATAGGTAAGGTCAGAACTTCAAGGCGAGGTCACTGAGTCACAGTGGCCCACATCCAGGGCAGGATGTCCTAAGAGATGGAAAGAAGGCAGAGCACAGACAGGAAAGTTACCTAGAGATAGAGGCAGAAATTGTGGTACTACATTGGAGCACCGGACTGAAACCCCAAGGTCCAAATAAGGAGCAGAAGGAGAGAGAGCAGGAGCAAGGAACTCAGGACCGCGAGGGGTGCACCCACACACTGAGACAATGGGGATGTTCTATCGGGAATTCACCAAGGCCAGTTGGCCTGGACCTGAAAAAGCCTGGGATAAAACTGGACTCGCTGAACATAGCGGACAATGAGGACTACTGAGAACTCAAGAACAATAGCAATGGGTTTTTGATCCTACTGCATGTACTGGCTTTGGGGGAGCCTAGGCAGTTTGGATGCTCATCTTACTAGACCTGGATGGAGGTGGGTGGTCCTTGAACTTCCCACAGGGCAGGGAACCCTGATTGCTCTTTGGGCTGATGAGGGAGACTTGATTGGGGGAGGGGGAGGGAAATGGGAGGCGGTGGCGGGGAAGAGACAGAAATCTTTAATAAATAAATAAATTAAAAAATAAAAAAAATTAAAAAAAAAAAAGAAATTGTGGTACTACCACAAACCAAAGAGTGCTAAAGTTTGGAGCCATCAGATAATACTGAGATAAAGGCTTGTCCCAAGAGCTTTCAGAGGGTTTGGGGGTCCTGCTAATATGCCACTTTCCTTTTGGATTTATATGGTCTCCAGAACTGAAGTAAGCTGAATTCTGGTCGTTTAAACCAAGGCGTTGGTTATGATTTGCTATGACAGTCTGACTGAAAGATTGCAAGCCTCATCCATTTGTACAGTTGACATAAGCATGATATCAAAGCCTCACAGAGTTATTATGAGGAAGGAAGATGACAGACCAGTTTCACCCAGAAACTAAGTGCATGAGTGCGTGTGCGTGCGTGCGTGCGTGTGTGTGTGTGTGGCGGGGGTGGGAGGGGGAGCTTTTAAGAAAATGTTAGAGAAACAAAATCCAGCAGAGTTTTAAAGGACCAAACTAAATTTGTTCTACTCCAGGACTGTAAAGTAGATTTGACTCCCACAAAGGCAGATAAACGAGGGAAAGCCAGCCAGAAGGTTATCTCAACAGATGCCTGAAGAGTGTTGATAAAATAGGATGTCAGCTTGAGAAAGCTGGGGGTGGGGGTGGGGGTGGGGGTGGGGGATGGGGGTGTGTGGGGCGGGGGCGGACCGGTAGCCTAGTACTCCTAGTAGCCTGACAGAGATCAGGCCTTAGTTTCAGTTCACTAAAATGGGACAGCGCTAAACAGACAATCCTCAGGAAAACCACAACTTAGGAGCAACCCGTCAGCAGGTGCCCCACAACCTTCTGCTAGCTTAGCAGACGCCCCATGGCCCTGTCTGCCGGCTCAGCAACCCCCAAAGTCCCTTTGCTGGCTCAGCAGATGCCCCTTCCAGTCTCCTGATAACTAAAGATAGATTTCCCTACCCCGCAGCTGGGAGGACTCTCACCAATCAGCCCTCAGACTAATCATTCCTCCACCAATCAGCTCTCAGACTCTCTCTCTCTCTCTCTCTCTCTCTCTCTCTCTCTCTCTCTCTCTCTCTGTTTTTCAAAACAGTGTTTCTCTGTAGCTTTGGAGCCTGTCCTGGAATGAGCTCTTCTAGACCAGGCTGGCCTAGAACTCATAGAGATCTGCTTGTCTCTGCCTCCCAAGTGCTGGGATTAAAGACCACGTGCGCCACCATCGCCCGGCTAATAAAGCACTCTTGTTATTGCAAATGTGGCTGTTGGTCTTCTTTGGGGGGCTTCTCTTGGACCTTAACAAAACTGTGATAAATTGTCTAGTGAACCAGGACTAGAAGACGATAGTGCCCCACCCCTCTCTTCCAGTGTTGGAATTGAAGCCAGGTCTTGGTGCATGCTAGCAAGTACTTTATCACTGAGTTATACCTCTAGCTCCAGATAATATTCTCTCTCTCTATTTTTTTTTCATTTAATTTTTGAGACAGGCAGGTAGCCCGTGTTGGTTTGAAACTTTTTACGTAGACCAGGCTAGCCTTGAATTTGCCATCCTCTTGCCACTGCCTCCCGAGTGCTAGGATTACAGGCATGGACTTCCATGCCTAGCCTGACAAAATTTTTCAAAATTTAACTAATGTGTGTTGGGGGTTGCTAGCTGACCGTGTGCAGTTTCATGTACATGAGAGCAAGTGCCTGCAGAGGCCAGCAGAGGGTACCACATGCCCTGGAGCTGGGATTGCTGGTGGGTGTAAACTGTCAGACTGAGACTTGAACCTGAGTCCTCTCAAAAACAGTGTACACTCCTACCCCCTGAGTAATCTCTAGGCCCCAACGATATGTTTCTTATGGTAAAAAGCTCACTAGGAATACTCCAGCAAAATGTACGCTCAATGATGGTGTAGGGAAGTCTTCCCTTCCCAATCTGGAACTCTGCGGGAATGTCAGCGTTACCGCTTCTGTTCGCCATCTTGTGCGAACAGGACATTGTCAGTGAAGTAGGACAACAGAAAGCAGGTGGAGCTATGTGGTCTAGAAACAAAATGGAGAACTAATTCTTTGGAGATGCTACAGCGGGGTAGGAAAACCCAGCAAAGCTGTCTGCAAACAAATGCAGGAACGTGCGGATCAGTTCAGCGGTGTTTCAAATACAAGGTCAGTATAAGAAGAGGATATGTTAACAGTAAACAACTAGAAACTAAAAGTTTTGAAAAAGGTAATGTTGACAATATTCCAAGGTATGAAGCTCCAATCAGTCAGAATGGAATATATATATTCTTATTTGTAAAACTATGAAACGTCATTTTGAGAAACTAAATAAGACAGAATGGCTAGAGAAAGAGTCAAAACAATAAAGATCTTCACTCTCCTCATTGGCCTATTTGGTGCTAATTAACATTCTAGCAAGATTTGGTGGAAAGGGGTTTAACAAACCAATTGTGAAATATATATCAGAGCACAAGAATTGGCCAAGAACTCTTGAAGAAAAAGAACAAGTGGGAAGATTCGCTTTTATCAGACATCACAATTTATATCCCTAATTAAGAGAGTTTAGTCAATGGACAATGGAGCAGAAAACAGAGCATCAAACAGAACCATGCATACACGTACCCTCAAATTATAACCAGTAGGACAGGGCAGTCAGGGAACAGTCTTTGCGACAATAACCGGTAAATATGTGCCAAAAATGACACTTGGCTTCTCTTAAACCAAACTCAAAAATATTTCCCAAGTATAGAATAATGTGAAAGAGGATGCCGGAAGAGTATTTTTATTACATAGGACTGAGAAAAATTTCTCAAATAGGTTAGAAGTGATAACCGTAAAGGAAGAGGTTACCAAATTGCTCTAGCCTGACATTAAGAAGTGTTCTATTTCGGTAGGGCTTACTGAGAAATTACAAAGGCAAGCCACACATGATATGGATCTAACCTCTAAAGGACTCACCTCTAAAACGGCTTTTTGGTTTATACTAACTTGTTTTGAAAAGGGCCTAAAACGTAAAGGTAAATGGGTATGAGATTTGAAAGCTGGGCAATTTTAATATGGCAATAAACATATGAAAAGTTATTACTTATCAGAAAGCCAAAGCCTTAATAAGACCCCCTACTGGTATGGATAAAATAAAAAAATAAAAAAAATGGTAACAAATTTTGGCCAGCACATACAACTTTTAAAACTTATTTATTGGAGAAGTAAATTGGCACCTACTTCAAAGAACAATTTGGTCCTAACCTGTCAATTGGAGAATCCATATGCCCTATCATTCGGCAAATTTACTTCTAAGTATGTGCAGCAACAATATGTAGACATATTCACCAGAAGACAGTCACACAAATTTCATTACTGTAACTTTCATAATGACCTCAAATTGGAAATAACCAGATGCTCATTAATAGTCATCTGATAAATATATTCCCAAACATCACATACACACATTGCTAAACTCATGAGAATGTATGCAACCTGAGTTCAAAGTCACGCATGAATTCTAACCAGATGCGAGAACAAATGCTGACAGATTTTATTTTTATGAGGTTCCCAAAAAGAAATATATAATTCTTATTTCTAGAAGCCAGGATAGTGGTTATCTCTGGGGAAGAGATGGGAAGCTGTGGTACAGAGATTTTCTGGAAGAACTGGCCGTGTTCTGTTGCTTCCTGAGTGGTATTTTACAGTGGAAGACTTAAACTGAAAGATGTAATTTCTTCTCAAGTCGGTCAATAGGTTTAATGTAACCCTAACTCTTTTTGTTTTCTAATACTTGAGAAACTGATTCTGAAAGACACACGCAGCCTCCGCAAAGCAAACATTTAGGTGAGAGGGTACCATTGGGGCTCTCATTTCTTTAAATGGAAGTTTGTCCTTAATAGGCATCTATGGTGATTGTGGTGGTTTGAAATAAAATGGCCCCTATAGGGGGTGGCACTATGAGGAAGTGTGACCTTGTTGGATTAGGTGTGGCCTTGTTGGAAGAAGTATGTCACTGTGGGTTTGGGCTTTGAGATCTCATACATGCTCAAGCCATGTCCAGTGAGACAGTTCACTTCCTGTTGCCTGCCCATCAAGATGTAGAACCCTTGGTTCCTTCTCCTGCACCATGTCTGCCTGCATGTCACCTACTATGATGTTAATAGATTGAACCTCTGAACTCTAAGTTAGCCCCAGAGAAATGTTTTCCTTTATAAGAGTTGCTGAGTCATAGTGTCTCTTCACAGCAATAGAAACCCTAACTACATATTACAATGATGTAATAAACCCACCAGACCATCACAGGGAGCAGAAAGAGATCTGCCCAGGACTGTCTTCCTAGTCCTCAGGAATGAATTTATTGTATTAGTATGCAATTATCTTTACTCTCATAATATTTGTCCAAGAATATGTGCCCCCCCCACTGTCCCAAATGGACAAATTATGGGCTAAAAAAAATCCTCTAGAATTAACTGTGAGTGGGCAATAGCAGCATCTACTGAGGATCCTGTAGACTCCCTATCCCTTACTGCTAACATGTCTGTTCCCCGACTCCATCGTGTCTCATATTTTTCCATCACTCCTTCTAGTTCAGTGGTCACTCTACCTCAGTTTTGTTTTTCTCTCCTCTCCCTTCAATATGTCCCCTTTCGTTTGAACCCCACACTGACTGGAATTCTCAAGATCCTCCCTTTCTCAGTCCAACTGTACTGCGCACATGCCTTCATTTGAATCAGGCCAGCATGCCACAACAGTCTTCTCACACCTCCCTGTTTCCTAAGGTTGTACCATTCAAGGAGGAAGTCTGAGGAGATGCAGGGTAGACTCTTAGAATGCCAGCGCTGGACAAGCGTCCACTGTCATGTGTTTACAACTTCATCTCATATGAAGAAGCAGACCACCAGACTGCCCAGTGTTTCCCATTATTTCAAACAACAGGAGTTCCAGGGACATAGGTTCAACAACTTTTAGGGGAGTTCTTATTCTTGACTTCTGCTTCCCTAATTTCATCTACTCTAGAACCCCTATGGAACCATGGTCTTGTGCAAGGTGGCCCAATCAGGAATCCAGTAGGAAATATGACAGACATGCCCCCAAGAAGAGCACAGAACTTACCCCTGATTTCTGCACTTGTGCATAAATAGTAAGGCCTTTTTCTTCCACTGGCGGCTGGCAGCGGCTTCTTTTACCTGCAAAGAAACACAGCAGTTACCTTCCTCAAGTCCTCAGCGTGAGGCCCCTCACCCAGTCCTGTCTGGTCTTTACTCTCCACTCTCTCCTCCTTTCCTGTCACAGGAGCCCAGCATCTACTCATTTGTTGATAGCATTGGATCGGTTACTCTATCTGTCTAGACCTGTGTTCCTAATGTCAAATGGAATTTGAGATGCCTGTCTCACAGGACTATTGTGGGAATTAAATGAGAAAATACCTGAAAAGTATTTATACCAGTTACACTAGCAGGCAGCAAATGTCCAATATGTGCTGTGCCCCTCACCCTTGGGTGCTATTTGACCGCTGTACAATTCAGCTATTTTAATCTCTATGTCTGTGTGTATCTGCTCTCCTAGTGGGGTTCTAGGTCTTCCGAGGCCACAGCGGGCTATTTACAGCCTGTCTCTTATTCTCCAGCTGGTAACATGTTGCTTCACTCACAGCTTTCTCATCCCCCTATTTCTGGAGAGCTTGCTAGTGTGTGGGGTGGGGGTAGAGGTGGGCGATTCACTTGGAAGTGTCTGGAAAACAGGCCAACAGTGTCATTTCTTTGTTCCCCATCTAGAAAACCAGCCCAGAGCCGGGGGTCTCTGTCAATTAGTGAGTTGTGAAACATTTTAATTTTTAGATGACATTTAAATTTTCCTTTTTAAATTGTACAGAAACTCCTAACATTATAAAAATTCAAGTTGGCTAGAAATTCTCCCTCATTAACCAACCCCATTGTATTCCCAGAGGCTCTTCGGGATGCTGCAGTGGCCCCTCTTCACTTTTCTTAACACTGAACCATTTCCTTTGCAGGTGCCATGCATGGGTGAGGATGTGGAAAGGAAGGCACTGACCTATCCTCCCTCCCTCCTCTTCTCCTTTTTTTTTTTCCATTTCACAAATAGATTGTCAAGAGCCAGCTCAACTTGACTCCACGTCAGCCAAGTCTTTGGATGTATTGAAAAAGACCTGAGCCCTAGATCTTAGCCTTAGGACTAGTGCCAGCATTGCTGTGTGGCATTGAACAGATAAGTCACTTCAATGGGGCTCTTTACATACTGTAGTTGTAAAACCAGAGCATAGACCATTATTGGCTTTTTTAGCTCTCACACAAAGCAATAAATTGTCTTATGTAATCGTAACCTCAAGTACTTTAAACCTGCTATAAGTACTGTTTCTAGAGTCTCCTTAAGACTTAAACATTGACCCACTCACATCAAGAGATATGTCTGTCTACAAATGCATGTATATACATGTTTATCATTCAGAAAAACCACTGTGTGTTTTCTGAACATTGGTTTGCCAATCTCCACAGCAATACCACAAAGGGTTAGTATCCTCACTTTGCAGATGGTGGCCAGTTTGCTTGGTTACACAGTTCACTGGTGCTAAAGTCTGCCTTTGGGTGCTGTCTAAGGCCAAAGCCCCATGTGCTCATTTGCTTATTTGGAGATGGGGTCTCACTATACTGCTCTGGGCTGATCAAGAAACCACAGGCTGGAGTGATCCTCCTGCCTCAGACTCACAAGCAGCTGTTACTACAGACTTGTCTCATTGTACACTGCCCAGTGCCTACGCTCGTAACTAGTGTATTCTCCTGGAGACAAACTTGCCAGAACCACTTTAAAATTCTTCAGAGTCAGGCGGCATTCTTGAGATGACATTGTTACACATTGCCAGCAGAATCTCTTGAGCAATGTTTAGCGGAAGGCATAACAACTAACTTCAGATTTTGGCGTAGATTTGTATAGTACTGAGTTACAAGGCATAACTGGGATGTGTGTTGAGTGTGGGGGAAGTGGGCTTCGGTGGGAAGGGAAGTGCTGCTCCCTGAGTGCTTAGCTTTGTGTTGAACAGAATGTAGGGAGGAAGGTGTGTGGAAGGAAGGATAGCATCCCTTCACTAGCCAGGTTAACGTGGGACACTTGCCTGCTTTCTTAGCCTCTGAATCTTGCTGTTTTTTTTTTTTTTAATAATGAAAACTAGTGGATCCACTCCCAGACCCTTTGCTCTCAACAGAAGCTTTATCTGAACCACACACCCCTCCTCCACTGTCTCGGAGAACTCTTCGATGGAGGAAATGAGGCAGAGGTAGGCCTCTGTGCTGTGCTCGACACCTTCTTATATAAGCAAAACCGACCTCAGCGTGCTGAGGTAAGGGCTTTTTCTAAGAAGACCGTGTGTGGATCACATTGACCTGCTTGAGCACGACACGAACCCTCAGCTTGGTGAGGAGACCAACGTAGTGTTCTGTGCTCCCCCAGGGAAGGCCAGCCAGGGCATCTGAGTCAGGATGCTCTGATCCGGATGGGCAAGTGGGAGTCAATATGGCTGAGGGGGCACATGGCCCTGAGATAGCGAATCACAGAACAATTTGGAAGAAAGATCGAGCATTTAAACTTGGAATCACAGCCTTACTGCTTTTAGTCTACTCTGGGACCTGTTTCACAGATCCAAGACTTCTCTGAATTCTCTTCTCTAGCAAATATCAGTTAAGCATGCTTCCTGTTTCTATTCCTTTAGCCTTCCCTACAAGCCAAACCTCACTGCTGCATTTAAATTATCTGCACAGTGTCTTCTATATTAGACACTTGTGGCTCTGTCCTCTTCTGATTCCCTTAACCTGGCAGTGGGGCTCAACAGACAAGAATGGACTGAACTGAGCAGGGATGGGTTGATTCAGTCTTTTTCCCAGGGGGTCCCAGACAGAACGCTGTAGTGAGAATGAGTCTGTGCTCGTATTAAGATCTATTTTGCTTACCACTGGGAGCCCAGCAAGAACCCTTTCTTGCCAGACCTACCTTGTTTTTTCCGCAGTGTGGCTACTATGGAGACTGGAATGATGAGGAGTAGAATGAACCCTAACGATGCAACAGTGTGTGTTGCTATCCATGAGCTTGCGTCTGAAAGAAAAGACAAAGGAAATATGAAATGCACCATGGGTTTAAAAATACCTGACCCACAAGTGAGAAGACTGAGCTTCATGCCCCGTTTCCGTACCTCCCTCCCCAGGGAGAGACATTTGTTTACGTGGTATTAGAGACCAGCCTGTGACCACTAAGATTTCCATGTCCACCTTCTTACCCCCACTTCATTCACTATCCCTAAATTCACATTTCTGATTTCATAAAGATGCTTCTAAGTAAAATGCTTTATTTTATCTTTACCACTTGTCTAAAATTAACTTGTCTTCTCTCTCCTGCCAATCTCTTGCCCCGCTTCTCCATTTCTAAATTTCTAAAGTATTGTGTGTCCATTTTTGGTAAAGGGGATGTGACAGTCCCGTGTGCTTGTCCCCATGCCCCCAAACTACTCCCATGAGACAACTGGGAGGAAGAAATCAGCTTTTCTTCTTAAAAAGGTAAACACAATAGTGCTATTATTGCCCTTAAATGCAAATGACAGTGTGGAGCCCAGCAGACCTGAGCTAAGAGAAAAGCATGTCGTTTTTCCTGTAAATTATCATAGTTCAAATTAGCAAAGCTAACTAAGGCTTGAAATCATGGAGCCAAATTTTGTAGCTTTCTCAAGAACACTACTTTGAAAAAAAGTGAATATGGCCTTTGTCTCAATCAACATGGTATGTGACTCACTAACAGAATAGTGGCCAGTTACTAAGTTCTTACAGTCAGATGCTTTTAATAGTGAGTCTTGTACACCACTGTATATAATCAGAACAATCCTAAGGGGTGGGTACTTTTATCCTTTCCATTTTATAAGTAAGGAAATGGCATGAAGAATATCAAGAACTAGAACTAGGAATGGGAGAGGAAACACGGCTGAACACTAAAGACAGGTTCCCTGGGAGTCAGAGAGCCTCCTGGAGCAAGCAGTGAGGTCCCATCTGAAGCACCAGGTTTTTAAGTAATGACACCAAATTCTAGTGTTACTAATGAAACAAAGACAGTACCAGGTACTAACACAATGTGGAGGGACACTTTATAAAAAATGATTGTGAGAGAAAAGTGGTTTTAAAAACATCCTACCCCGAACTATAAACACAAACAAATAAATAAGCTTCCTGGTTGTACTTCGGAAGTTGAAAGGAAGAACCAAGTGGGTTAGAAAGGAACAGAGTAATGGCAGACACAATTCAGATGTTTCTAGAACCGATGAAAATATAGACAGAAGTCCCACAGAACTGGTAAGACGCTCCAGTCCAGCAGCTACTCAGAAGTTTCCTTCTGGTCTTGAAAGAGTTCTTCTTCCCAGGCTCTCCATATAGCTAATCACAAGGAACCTCACAGCAATGACAGATTCTCTTCCTCAAGTAAACTATGTTTTAACCCTGCCAAATACCAACTTTAACCATCTTGAGCAAAAAAGGATAGGATCTAGGTGTGGTGGTTCATGCCTCTAGTCCCACCACTCGGAAACCTGAAACAGAAGGCTGAAAGGTCAGGGGCAACCCGAGTTGTGGAGGGAGACCCTGCCTTGAAAATGAATGAATGAATGAATGAATGAACAAGCAGAGAGTTGGCTTTGTATAACATATAAAATGTGAAGGCAGCTGTGAGCTCCTCTGCATGACATCCTAAGTAATATATGATGGTTGAGAACCCTCTGTGTTATACGCATGTATGTATGTATGTATGTACGTATGTATGTGCATGTATGTCTGACTGGGAGTCTAACTGATTCAGATTTTCGATGTCAGTACCAGGGACACACAGAGAAACTCCCCAGGACCAGGAGAGAAGCAGGGGCAGCAGCCTGAGCTTCTCTCATGAACCGTGGTACTGGTCCAGCGAATCGTGATAGTGGTGCTTACTATTTTGAGAGAGTTCCTCTTTCTTCTTCTAACATATGTATCTTGAGAAAGTCTATAACAGAAGCTAATTTAAAGACAAACACCTTAACCATTTACATCATTTCCAAAGGTAATATTTCTTCTAAATTTCATATGAGATTTACAAAAAAGACCAAAACCCAAGGTGATGCCTCTGAAGCAGGAAAGCAACAGATGATGGAATTTTTCGGGGACTTGCCTGCCAAATCTGCCTTTCTCACCTCCCTGGGCCTTCTGCTGGCAACCCCACTGGCCACCTACTCACATAAGTCAACAGTGAGAGGTACATGACTGAGACTCCCCGTGTGGTAACACCAGGCCTGTGTCGTCCCAGAATCTCAGGGGGATGAAATCAATGGGCTGCTTATACCTCATGACATAAATGGCCAGCTTCTGCCAGACACGAGGCAATCTGGCCATCAGCTTGAAAGATATTTTTAACAACTCTAATTTTTCTCTTTGCCTTTTAAAATATATATGAATATATTGGTGAATTTTTAAAAAATCAAACCATTTGTTTAAAAAATCTTAAAGGAGGGGCTGGAGAGATGGCTCAGAGGTTAAGAGCATTGCCTGCTCTTCCAAAGGTCCTGAGTTCAATTCCCAGCAACCACATGGTGGCTCACAACCATCTGTAATAGGGTCTGGTACCCTCTTCTGGCCTGCAGGCATACACACAGACAGAATATTGTATACGTAATAAATAAATAAATAAATAAATAAATAAATAAATAAATATTTTTAAAAAAATCTTAAAGGAACTATTTTGATGTTTAGTTTATCAAACCTACTCACTTCACATTGAGGAAACAAGTATACATGGCATTCTCGAAGATTCAGTGACACAACTGGGAAGGTGAGTGATGTAGATGCTGAGGTTTGTGACAGCCTCTGGAGATTGAGTCCCATGAGGAAAGTAGCCACTAATGCTGATGCCTGGGAGAGCTAAGGCCTTCAAGGTGGTCAACCCATTTCTTTGCCGTCTTCCTTCCGCTGTTTATTCTCCTTCCTGATGATGTTCCGGCTGTCCACCACCCCTGCTCACGCCCTTCGCCCAGGCCCCTCTTCCTTCCGCAGCGTCACCTTTCCTGAACATTCCAGCCTCACTCTGCCCTCTCCTGCAGACATCACATGTAGTTTATGTCATATAGGTTTGAACCTGTGTTTTCCCACCATTGTCTTTGCAATGCAAACCATTTTAACTGATGCTAATAGAAATCGGACAGGTGGATTCAACTCCATCTAATTAATAACGGTGTGGACTATTTAAAAACTGTGTGCCTCGGAGTCTTTCAGACCATTCAAGGCGTGTTTCATCACCAATAACATGAGCATAAAAATATTTAGTTCACAGTGTTGTTCTGATGAACCAAGACAACCATGTACATAAAGTGTTCAGAGCTACAGCTAAAAGTCATGACATGATCAATGAACATCACCTGTTTCCACTAGTCCCAGCTCCGCAGTGAACCTCTAGGAGGCCGGAGGTCACCTCTTGGCAGATATTCTTTTTCAGTACTTTCAGTCCTTGGCACATACATCCTCAGTAAGTTCTTAATGGTTGATTGGAACAAGAAAATGAGCTTGCTCTTAAGTACAAAAGTGTTCTTGTCATTGAAGCCCAGAGGTGCCACGTCCCATCCCGTTGTTTGCTTATGACTTAGTTTTCCTATCAGAGAAGCAGGCCCCAAGGTGCCTCTATTTAATGCTAGCCCCCTTGGTGCTATTTGCTAATCATGGTACTTATGTAGAAACTGTCAAGGACTTGAAGGCTCGAGGAATTCAGACAAATGTGGACACAGTGCTGCTTATTTAGCTTGTGTGTGTGTAGGGGGGGGCGGTCAGGTTACACACAGTTTCCAAAGTTTCTGGAAATATTCTCCTTGTGTTCCTCTGAGGCCTTGTTCCTATTGCTCTACCTGTTCTTCTCTTGTGTGAGGATCAATCCCTTCCTCAGTTTCTACACCAAGCAAAAGGAAGAGGGCAAAGCTCTACACCAAGAATACATGTGTTTCAGTCTTCTGTAGAGGATCTGAAGGGACTCAAGGAGAGACTCCATTGTGAGACAGGAGCTTCCATCCATCACCTGATAGGCTCAGACCTCTCTTTCTCTCTCCTCTCTCTGTCTCTTTCTCTGTGTCTTTCTCTCTCTCTCTCTCTCTCTCTCTCTCTCTCTCTCTCTCTCTGTCTCTCTTTCTTTCTCTCTCTCGGTTTTGATTTGTTTGTTTTATTTTGTTGAGAGGCTAGGCTGGCCAGAACCTGTGATGTAGTCTTGTGACCCTCCTCCCAGCTTCTCCAGTGACAGGATTAGAGGCCTGTGCCTACTCCCTCAGTTTCTCTGCTTCCATATGAACGATATCTTCCCCTTCCTCAGAGCATCCAAGTCACATCTATATTCCTTGGGGGAAAGTCTCATTGTCTGTCTTCTGGCAGCTATTAGAGCATGTCTTAAGTCCTATGTATCCTCCAAAGAGAAATTTTAGTAGTAGTCTCTTTCAAATGATGTTTTTTTCCATCTAGTAAATAGGAATCTCACTTAGGTTGGCATCTCTAAAGGTGCTCTCTGTGCCTATTATGTTCTTAAATACTCGTTCATTCCATCAGATGCAGGACGTGACGTCGTACCATATACAGTTGATGAACCTAAATTACTGGATATGAATGGATCTTAGAGAACTATCATGTCTTCTTCTGTTAAAAATGATCAGAGTGCTAAATACACGAAGGTCTCGGAAAGTATGCTAGGTCACTTCCTGAGTGCCCCGGGACAGTAGTGCCCAATGACCTACTTGACACAGCTTTGCAGTAACTGCACAAAGCTGGGAGAGTTGCTTGCCTGAAACACATCACCTGGGCTGCTGTTTCCAGACTGGAAGATCCCACTCTCTCTCCTTTTGTTCATTCGTGTAGTGAGGCCATTCAGGATGGTGGTTCTCAGAAATCAGATAAAACTGGCTTTTGGCTCCATCAGCCCTTCATCCACAGAGAAACATTACCTCAACTTTTTTTCTCTTTCTTTTCCCCCCCCTTTTTTTTTTTCTTTTGGATCAGAGTTATGATGCCCCCTCCTCCACCCCTTGTAGAAACCTCCTTCGAGACAGCTAATTGGGCTGA